TTTTTTTTTTTTTTTTTTTTTTTTTTTTTTTTTTTTTTTTTTTTTTTTTTTTTAACTAAAGCTTCCCTGAGAGAGTAATTAAAAAGTGCAAGTTCCTGGTGTTAACCGAGAGGATTTAGTTTGAAAAAATGAAAAGCTCGGATACCCCCGCGCTTGCACCCTTTCCGCAGAGCCGTCCAGTCTGCGGACGGTGGCTTGCCTTGGGCGGGAGCGGGGCTCGGATGAGCCTCTTTCCAGGACCCCTGGCACCCGGAATATCGGGGTACGGGATTGTCGTGGTTAAGACAGGAAGGGATTTGAGGAGCGAAAAGCGAAAAGGGGGGGTTAAGTGCTGAGCTGCCAGCCCCAGCGAGCGCTGGAGCTGCGGAGCGGCACGGCCGGCTTTCGCGCCTCGTCGTTTACAAACACCCCCTCAGTGCTTCAACGCGAGGAAATGGATAGTTAAGCACATCATTAATCTTATCCAGCCCACGTAATCAACAATCAATTAATTCTTCTCCGGGCTGAAGAGATGCGGATCGCGCCGCAGCAGCAGGAGCCCGTTTCCGCAGGGAAAGACGAAGGCAGAGCCTCATCCCGCGCGTGTCCGAGATGCTGTTACCCATCCAGACCTCTCCAGCTCTGGGAAACTTTCTAGCAGCAGCCCTTAAATCAAGGCAAACGCTGCTCTTTGCCGTTAGTGGGGTGATTTATGGCTCCCTCCCGGGCTGGAGCCCTCTCTCCGAACCTTACGCCCGGACTACATGTTTACTATCCGATGGATTATGGATCCCATGCTGCGCGGTTTTGCGGGTTTCCGCAAATCCCACCGCAGCATCGCAGGGGCGGGGGGGGTTCGGCTTCATCTTCGGTGGGAGGTTTGTGTTTGGGGTCCCCCAGAAAGAGAGGGGGGACGGGATGGGACGCGGGCAGTGGCGAGAACGGAGGGCTGCAGCCTGCAGCAGCAGCTTTGGGAGGAAAGTGGCATCAGCCTCCCCTGGAACCACGGGAGACTTTAGGCAAGCACAGTGTAATTACAGGAGAGAAAAGCTAATTGGTAATAATAACAATTAAGAGCCCACGTGCCTGCAGATTACAGGAATTTGCGGATAAGCGAAGTGATGAAAGAAACCTGAGGACAGCGGGTTGCGGAGCGTACTTTGTTCAGGTATTTTGACAAAGCATCACTTGGCTTAATTGTAATTAAAAATTAACAAACCCCTTCAACCGACCCACCAACGTGCCTCTGTGCTTAAAACAGAGGTGTGTTCGTAGCGCTGTGACCCTCTCGTCATCTTCCCTCCCTCCCTCCCTCCCTCCCTCTCCCGTCCCCTTCCATTAAAATACAGGCAGCTGTTCCCTGGTACCGCTGCCCTCTCCTTCTTGCTCCTCCCAAGAGCCCGGCACGTTTTGGCCACGTTTCTGAACATGTCCTCCAGCTCTAGAGCCCACAAGTCACCCGTTGCATGTCTCATGGATGCTAACGCTTACTGGCGGGAGCGCAATGCCACTGGGACATCATGGGGAGGTGCTGGTGGGAAGGGAGAGGTGAAGAAATGGAGATCCACCTTGAAGTCATGGTGTCCAGGTGTGGTTGTGTCTCCTGCCTTGTGTGTCTGGTGTAACTCTGTGCTTCCTCATGCTCTTATGGGGCATAGGGAAAGGTCTGCATCCAGCTGCCTTCTGCTCTGGCATCCTGATGTTCCTCCTCGAGCCCTCATGTGCCCACCCAGTGCCCTGTGGTGACCCTGCACGTTTAGCTGCCTGTCTGCACGAGGTGGTGGGTTATGGCCCTAAGTGCTTCTGTAAGAGGCCGGATGTGTGGGATGGCCATGGTAGGACGTGGAGGACTCGGCGGTCCTCTTGTGGTGGAGGAAGGGCAGCGTGAGGTGGTGGTTGGTCCCTCTGGGGTGCTGTGGCCCCACTTGGCTGTTAGCACTGTTGGAGAGAGACCATTTGTCGCAGCCAGTTGTGCGCCTCAGGGGGAAAAAAAAAAAATCTCCTGAATAATAAAATTGTAAAATATTGTTTTGATTTATCCTTTTTTATCACCTTTTAATATCTGGAAAGACTGTGTGAGCAAGAGGCCTTCATGAGTTTTGAATGACAGGTTAAAGGGCTCCAATAAAGATTAGATGGTCCACTATCTCTCAAGGAAATTGCATCAAAGTGGTTACTCCTGCTTGCTCCTATTAATTTCCTCTCCGTGGCTGCTGGGAGATGCCTCATATCCTGATGCAGCAGACAGGGGCTAAGAGGCACTTTCCATTATCTCAATCATCGCTGTGTTTATGAGACACTTAGGGTATTTCTCTGCAGAGCCGTGCCTCGGAGGTGACGGCATCACGGGGGCAGAGCTGAGAGCCAAACGGAGGTGGGACCGCTCTGTGCGCGTGGCCAGGAACCCCTGGCTGGGTGGTGGACCTGGATGGAAGTCTGGTCCCTTGGGCACGTGTGCCAAAATACAGATGTTCCTTTCTGCAGCCTTTGGTTTCACCTGAGGGGTTTGTTAGACGTCAAGGATGGATGAGCATCCGTCATCAGCGCCTGGTTGGTAAGGACCGGTGGGGTGGGACAGGGGTGAGGGACCCCATCTTTGTCACTCCATCATTGCCCTCGAACAGCAGAGCGGTGAGACGGTTGATTAATGAAACCTTCCCCCCGTCACTGATTAAAGCCTGGCCGTAACTCTTAACTGGAGCATCTTCTCATTTATGTATTAGGTACCATTTCCTGCTTGAATGAACTGGGAGGCCGAAGGCTGGGAAGGTTACTAGCCCCAGCCCCGGGCTGCAGGGGATTAACGGGATGGACCCGTAACACACTGTAACAGGCGTCACATCAACTTTTAAATTAAATATTCAAATTTTGCCTGGAAAAAGAGATGCAAGACCAGAGCCATGTCATTGGGGTGGCGGACGGAGATGCTTTGAATAAGCAGAAGGTGGACACTGTCCAGCCCCTGTGTGTCTGTGTCCCCCCGGCTGCTGCCGGGGAAGGGGGTCCCGCAGCCCCCCATCGTCCCCCTGCCTGGGTACGAGCTGTGGGGAGCAAAGCCGCTGCTGCAGCTCCTGTGCTCTGCCCGCTTAATTACTGGATGGTTGCGGAGAGCGTGCGTGTTGTAATTAGGCTCAGTACCCGGTTCGGACTAGGGCTGGCTGCTGTCTTGGGGGTGTCTGTGCAAAACTTGCCTCTTGCTCTATGATTTCGGTGTTTTCCTGGTAACTCCAGAAATAATTCACGGCCAGCGTGGAAAATTATGGTCATCCTCGCTTTGTAGGAAGGCGCTACCCCATTTAGCTCTGATACAGGGATGGAGCTTTTCCATGTCTTATTTTTCTTTTATTTCTCTTATTTTTCCTTCTCTTTTCTGCCCCGTTTTGAGAACGGGACCTGCTTTCACCTTCGCCCGGGCTCGATTCAACACCCAACCGCTTTCCTCTCCTTTCTCTTGCAGCCTGCCCGGCGGGGACGTTCAAGGCCAGCCAGGGCGCGGGGGTCTGCGTGCCGTGCCCCTCCAACAGCCGCTCCACCGCCGAGGCCTCGCCGCTCTGCACGTGCCGCAACGGCTACTACCGGGCGGATTTTGACCCACCAGCAGCCGCCTGCACCAGTGAGTAACGGTGTCGGGGTTGGCAGGGGGGAAGCAGCAGGGATAAAGTCTCAACCCACGAGCTTTTTCGTCTTGTTTTCTCCTCCCATCCCATCGCGGAAGGGAGCGAGCGGCTGGGTGGGCGTTTGGCAGCCAACCAAGGTCAACACACAACGAGGGTTTAGCTTTGCGGAGGGGCAGGGTACCCATGTTGACTACCCATCCGTCTCCGAACGGCGCGGTACCTCCTCCACGCGCTGTAGAAACCCTCCTTGCACCGACGCCAACCCCTTCTCCGCCACGCCGGCGTAAGCGCATGGTGTCTCGTCACCCTTTGCTCTGCTCTCCCGCGACGCCACCGTGGCACACACCAAACGATGAGCGACCCCCGCCCCCCGCCGCTCCGGCAGCTCTTGGAATTTATACTTCCCCCGGCAGCGGCGGGGATGGCAGGGAGATAGTCCCTAGGATAAATTAGAATTTAAAGTTATCTGCCGTTGCTGTCTTGTTCATAGTCTTGCAGATAGAGTGGCTTTTTACAGGGGGAAAGGGTGCGTTCAGCATTGGTATTCTGTGCAGCGATGTGTGCGATGCATCGCTGCTCGGCTGTCTGCCGGAGCCGCCTGGGATAGCAGCAGCTGCCTGCAGCCTGTCTTTTGGTAAGACAAGAGCCCAGGAGAGAAGAAGGAGCTGCTGTGCTCTTCAACCCGCTGGGAACATGAGTCTCAGGCTCAGTCCCCACACACAAAATACACTCCAGGCCCTTGAATCAGCCCGTCGGGGAGCTTTAGCACAAGGATGCTTCGGACCCTCGGTGCTGGGGAGTGCCCGAAATGCACGTCGGAACCGAGGAAAGGATTTGCATCTTGTGCTGGGTCACTTGAGCTGTCAGACCGGGGGGAGTCAGCAGGTAGCACGACCACAGATAATCTGTGTATCTTTATTACGTCTCGTTACACAGCTGATTTACAGTATGGCTGCGCTATAGGAATACAGTATAAAAAAAAAAAGTCTATTTGCTGATGTTTAATTTTTTTCTTTTATTTCTTCTCGGCGATGCTTAATTTTACAACGCTCTAATTTGAGCTGCCAGCTGTTTACCCGACAAAAGTTTCTCTCTGTCAGAGGAGGAACTTACAGCGTGGAGCTGCGGGTGCTGCCCTGGACCAGAGCTCTTCCCGAGGGCGATGCCTGCGAGGGCGGTCCCTGCCCCATACCCCTGCAGGGGGGGAATTTTGGGGACACAGTATTTTGTCTCTGGGCCAGGGAAGAAAGATGGTTTTCTCCCTTTTTCTTGAAAAACAGCTCGAAGAGATATTGTCTCAAGGTACAAAGAAGAGGATTGGATTAAGGTTCGCGAGACAGGTTGCAGCTTTTTGGGGGGAGCTTCCTATTTATTGATCCTTCTTTGTGAGTCCTCCGCTCTGGTTTCCCCCATGGAACTGGTGTCCCTCCCCCGGCTCCTGCCCCTGATGTGTCCCCTGTCCCCCCCCTTCCATAACCGCCCTTTGACATCTCCACGACCTACTAGCGGGATTTCGGGGAACCCCCACGATGGGATGTCTGTGGTGCCTCGAGTCCACAGAAGCCCTTTCCAGTGCGGGTGCTGCGCTGGCGGCTGCTCCCCGACACACGCGTTTCCTCCGCTAAAGGGGAAAAGAATTGAAGGGAATGGGCTTTTTTTTTTTTTTTATTTTTTTTTTTTTTTTTTTTGGCCAGGGCGCCCAGCAGCTGGGCAGGGTGGGCCCCCCACCGCCCCCCCGGGGCTAGCTGGCAGCGGGGTGTCAGCTGGAGCTGACACAGGGTCACCTCTCCATCCCACCGACCGCCTCACCCCTGTGCTGATGGAGCCGCCTCTGCCCAGCTCATCCCCGTCCCATAACGGGGCTAATTTATCTGCGGCCGCTAACGATGTTCCCCGGCACACGCACACACACAGGGCTCCCCCGGGATGGTTTTCCCCAAGACGGAGTGTGCTTCTCTCTCTTAACCTTTCCTCACGGGTCAAGTCCTCCATCATTTTTATTGCTCCCCCCCCACCATGGCAAAGTCCTTTTCCTTCCTGGGAAGCGCGGCGCTGAGCCCTGCCAGCACGAGTAATTAATCGCTTTCCCTGTTTAATATAACCCAGCAGCTGGATTTTGTGGGTTTGGCTGCGGAGCCGTCCTGGCTAACCCCAAATCCTTCCCCAGCCCCGGGCAGACGTATGTTTGTGCCTTGATGATGCTCTCCTGCCCGGATTCCTCCTGAATTGCTCCCTGTTAACTCCGGCCCCGTTCCAGCAGCGCTTGCAATCGGAGCTGCGTTCAATTCCCGTCCTCCGAAGCATCTGCGATGGCTCCTGGTGGATTTGATCAATGCCATTTTGATCTCTCGGCCAACATACGCGCTGCTCGCAAACCAGCGAGCGGTGCCGGGTGCGGAGGAGAGCATTCCTCTGCGCCGTTGAATACCCAACTTGAGATATCGAACCGCTAATAACCGCTTTTCATTCGCGACTCTCTTTTCGCGTGCCGCTCCTCCGTTTCTCCGCGGCGCCGGCTAAGCGGCGTTTCTCTCGCTGTGATAATCTGTCTGAGGTGCTTCTCCACGTGAGCACTGGAGCTAACTCGGCATCTCCCGATCGTTTAAACGAGTCCGTCTTCGCAGAGGGATCTGCGTGCGCTCTGCATGGGGTTGGGTTTTTTTGGAGACTGAGTGGGTTTGTGGCAGGGGAGTCCTCATCCCCAGCTGTGAAGCCCCTCTCTGCGGCTGGCGGTGTGGGTGGTCGGCGTTGCTGATGGGGAGACCGAATCCCTCCTGAGGCAGGAGGTGATGGGTAGACCAGCAGACGCAGCTGTGGGGTGTTCTTCTCTGTGCTGGACCCCCCAGTAGGGCTGAGCATAACGTTTTGGGCAAGGGCACATCTCAGGTGCTCTCCTTCCCCGCAGGTGTCCCATCCGGCCCTCGCAATGTCATCTCCATCGTCAACGAGACGTCCATCATCCTGGAGTGGCACCCGCCGCGAGAGACGGGGGGTCGGGACGACGTCACCTACAACATCGTCTGCAAGAAGTGCCGGTCGGACCGACGCGCCTGTTCCCGCTGCGATGACAACGTGGACTTTGTCCCCAGGCAGCTGGGGCTGACGGAGACCCGGGTCTTCATCAGCAGCCTGTGGGCGCACACGCCGTACACCTTTGAGATCCAGGCTGTCAACGGCGTTTCCAACAAGAGCCCCTTCCCACCGCAGCACGTCTCCGTCAACATCACCACCAACCAAGCCGGTGAGTCCTGGGCCGGCGCAGTGCCGGGGGTTTTAAGCCACACGTTACGAGTTGCAAGCTCCGAGTCTGAAGGAAAAAGCTCGCGGGGTGTGATGGCTGCGGTAAACCTGCCCCCAGCCCTGCACCGATACCCGCTTTTCATCCCCCTCTAGATTGCTTGGGGATGAAACAGCATCGCTGCTTCCCCCCTTTTCCAGGTGGGAGCAGGGACGGGGGGAGAATCCAGCCTCGGAACGCAGCATGGGGGGAGCAGCATCCCAAGGCTGAGTTCGGGCTCCATCTCCTCTGGCACATCCCTCTCCCATCATTTTCCTCTTGTCCCCTTTTCCAGGCTCCCCTGTCCCTTTCCCTCCCTCTTCCCAGTTAGGCTTCGGGAGCTGAACAAGCATCTCTGGGCCAAGCCGGGATGCCGCGGATGTGCAGATGGCAATGGGGTACCCAGTCCTGGGCTGCGATGAGCGGATGGAAACCCGTCTGCTTTGGGCAGAGAAAGGGGATGGTCCTTTCTCCTTCGTGCCGAGCGTGTAGCGCAGGCAGCCTTCGCCGACCCGCTCCCTCGGGACAGCACGAGGCAGAAACCTGGTGTAAATATTTGAGTCTCCCGCCTCCAGGGAATACAAATCCACTCTCGTGCCTGGCTGGCATCACTGTCTCCTCAACCGAGTGCAGTCAAACCTGCTTCTGGTTTCCAGGCCTTTTCTCCTGAGGTAGGGTTTTTGGGGTGCTCGGCTCTCACCTGGGATTTTTGGGGTGCTTGGCTCTCACCCTGGGGCTGCCCGGGAGCTGGGAAGAGCCGGGGCTTCCAGGTCTGTCTGTCCGTACCCCCGCGCTCCCTGTTTGCCCTGCAAAGGCTGAATATCGACGAGGAAGTGCTCCCGGTGCTGTGGGACGGGCTGCGGCGTAACCTGATGGAAATGCATCGGGTGCGTCAGAGGGAGGATTGGTGCTGTTCCTCTAAAATCCCGTCGGTTTTGCAGCGGGGTTTTCCACCCTTGGGGCCGGATCCAGCCTGGTTAGTGCATCTCGCCCTACAGGGCTGCCTGTCTGCCTGCATGCCGCTGTCTGTGCTAACGGGGCAGGGAACACGGCAATTAACAAACCAGCAATCAAGCGAAGTGTTTAATTTCAGCCCACGAGCATCTTCTTGGAGCGGATGTGGAGACATTAAAAAAAAAATAAAAAATAATAGGGGATTAAATACGCCGGGTGAACAAAGGTGGTGCCAGACTATAGATACCTCCCCGTGTGTAGCGGTGCTGCCCCCACCTTCCCTTCACGGCATGATCCTGTGCCCTGAGCCAGTGATGCTGAGCTCAGCTCTGCCCTGGATCCATGGGGAGGAGGAGGAGGAGGAGGCATTTTCCCTGCCCAGCGCTGTCTGCACTCTTGGGCGCGGTGAGGAAAAGGAGGAGGGCAGAGAGGGCTGGATAGGGAGCTGGGTCCCTGTGAGCAGGTCGTGCCAGCACAGCTTTGGCTGTGGAGAGACTTGGGTACCTTTTTTGGAGGCTTTAGGTAGGATTACGTGCGGGATCAGGGCCGTATCGGCTGCCTCTGGCCCTTTCCAGTATAACCTGCAGGGCAAAAAGCCTTTGGAAAAGTGGCTCTTGGCTAATTTAGCAGCTTGGTGTCCTTGGTGGTTGAAGGATGGTGGTGCTGCTGCCAGGGATGCTCAGCTGCAGGATGCTGGGCTCCGGAGATGCTGGGTTCTGGGGATGCTGGGCTCCGGGGATGCTGAACTCCAGTGATGCTCGGCTCTGGGATGCTCAGCTCTGGGGGGTGTTTGGCTCCAGGGATGCTCAGCTCCCTGGCAGGTGCAGAACAGCCCCGGGTTTGCTCCAGTGCACGCGGAGAGCAGGGCAGTGGGGACGATGTGCCGGGCAGCTATTTTAGGCGACCTGCTTGCTTAGCTCAGGTCTGGAGCGTGAACTGAAATGCCGCGGGTGGCTTTGCGGAGCGGTGTGGTGTGTGGTGCGGCCGGCAAGACTGATGAGAAATGCATGGCAGGGAGGGAAGGGGGTTGGACGAACCACGCCGGGCTCAGACCCGATGCCGACTGCGTGCTCAGCCAGTGCCAAGCATCTTGCTTTCTCCAGGGATGCCCGGGACCCCTTGGTTTGCTGCCCAGGAGGTCTCAGGGGCTGCAGGGATGGAGGCGCTGCCTTTCGAGCGCCCTTGCGCCATGGCCCTGGGGCTGGCGAGGAGCTGAAGGAGGGTTGGAGACTGTTCTGCAAGTGTTTTGAGCTTTGGGAATAAGACTCCTGCGAGGAGTGTGTTTGGGTACTGAGGATGAGCATCCCCAGAGAGCGCCTAATTGCGGACCTAGCAACTCCTCTGGGACGGGGTCCCCTTGCTGGGCTGGGGTGTCCCTGCCATGGTTTCCCATCATCGGCCTCAGGACGGGCAGATTTTTGCTCCTAGGTCCGATGACTGACAGCACGTGGGGTCGCAGCTGTGGCACAGACTCCGTTGGTGCTGGGTGTTGGGTCCCTCCAGAGAGGCTGTTACGGCTAGAGATGGGAAGCAGAGCTGGAGACCGTCATCAAGCCTTGGTTTGTCCCCGCTGGGGAGAGCTTTGCTGTCTTCCCCCTGCCATGGGAGACATTCTTGGAGCAAGCAATCCCAGGGAGAAGGAATACCAAGGATTTCCAAGCCTCTAATTAAAAAGACTAATTGATTTAAACACCAGAAGTCCCTTGCCGGCTCGCTGCTCTGGCTCCACGCAAGCTGCTGAGATGCCGCTCCTCCCACTGCTAATGCGGGAGCACGTCCCACGAGGCGAACAACCGCAGGCGTGGGGGATGTGGGACGCTCCACATGCTCAGGAGATCGTTCCCCCTCCCCAGGGCCGTTGGTCCTACCCTCTCCGTTAACTTTCTTTCCCTCCCCGCTTCCTCGGCAGCACCCTCCACCGTCCCCATCATGCACCAGGTGAGCGCCACGATGAGGAGCATCACGCTCTCCTGGCCTCAGCCCGAGCAGCCCAACGGCATCATCCTGGACTATGAGATCCGCTACTACGAGAAGGTGAGCCGCATCTGCACGCCCGACGTCAGCAGCACCGTGGGCTCCAGGCCGGCAGGGGTAAGCTTGGGTGGAAAACCTCAGGATGGAGGGTGGGCTTGGGGGCGTGCAGAGCTTCGTACGGCGCTGCTGGGAGGCTGCTGAGATCCTGAGCTTGCTGGGAGAGGAGGAACACTGATGAGCTTTGAGTCAGGCTCTTTGGGAAGGGTCTGGATGGTGGGACAGGCTGTGGGATGGGCGCCTGGTCACCCCCGTTGGCTCTGGAGGGTGGGAGTGACATGGAAGCAGAGGAAGGGAAGCAGTGTTGTGGCTGCAGGTGGTAATTCCTCCCCCGTGGGCAGCATTTTCTCCAGCGCATCAATGCCCGTTGCTGCCTTGGCTCTGGTGTCCGCGAGGGTGAGCAGGAACCTGGAGGGTGGGGACAGCGTCAGGAGGAAAGGAGGGGCATGGCGAGGACCGGCGAAGGTTATCAGGGTTATCCCTTTCCCGGGTCACTGCCTCCTGCCACGTCCTTTCGCTGGCAGCTGTCCTTCCCCACCAGGGACACGCTCTCGACCCTTGTGCTGACCCGTGCCGAGCCCAAGCTGTTCCATCCCGCCCATCCCTTGCCAGCTTGAACGAATTCTTCTAAATGTGAATAATTAGATGATCTCACCAGCGGCCCCTTTACAACAAATCACCGGGGAATGTTGCAAAAAATGAGATTTGAGACACGTGAGGTTTCCACCACGGTTTAGCACGAGGACCCCTGCCAGCAGAGCAGCGACTGTAGGGGCTGGGGCTCTCGGAAGAGGCAAGCTGCCCTCGAACCTGCTTGAGCGGGGTCTCGTAGGGCGCGTTGTGGTGTTTCCATAACTGCATGACGTTTCTGAAATGTGCCGGGACATCAGCGGTTCGAAGAGGAGGAATTCCCTGCTCATGAGTGGTTTTGCTCTGGATGCTTTTATTGTTTTCCCCCCGGTGCTTCATGCTCTTTGCTGTGGTGGGACTGGGGGGCTGCTGGGGAGGCACGTGCTGTGGGGACCTCATGGGTCCTCCTCCTGTGGGATCCCCTGTGTCAGGGGTTGAGGGCAACCAGGAGGGTCCTAGCCACCTTGCCCGGGCTCCGGCGCTTGTCCTCCTGGAGCAGAACCAGGGCCACCACTTTATCCTCCTGCAGATAGACCTCCTCCCTGCCATCATCGGGTGGGCTGCAGGGGCTCATCACCCCCTTCCCTGTCCCCGGCCCCGCTGACCGTCTCTCTCGCCCGCGCAGGACCACAACGAGTACAACTCCTCCATGGCCCGCAGCCAGACCAACACGGCCAGGATCGAGGGGCTGCGACCCGGCATGGTGTACGTGGTGCAGGTCCGAGCCCGCACCGTGGCCGGCTACGGCAAGTACAGCGGGAAGATGTGCTTCCAGACACTGACGGACGGTGAGTCCGGGACGGGGGCAGGGGACAGGGAGGCAAAAGGGGTGGTGGTTGTCTTTCCCAGCCGCAGCTTCGGGCTTTAATTGGATTAAACGAACTTGTCTCTGCAAACCTCCCTCCCAGCGGGCAGCGTGGCAAAAGCCAGGTGATTTACAGCAATGTCTTATTAATCGCCAGCTGGAGGAGTAATCTGCTTTAAATCTCTTAGCTCTGTTTTCTCCCCCGCTATTTAGCTGCAGTTTCGTCTTTTCTGCCTCTGATGGCGGTGGCAGAGGCCCTCTGCCACCGGCTGCGAGTCCAGCACGGTGGGGGCGGTAGACCTGCAGAGGAAGGGATGCTCTCCAGGGATGCTCTCCAGGGATGCTCTCCTGGGGCGCTCAGAGTGGCATCTGAGCCATCAGGGCTCAGATGGGTCAGACCCATCTCTGGGTCTGGAAGGGTCAGACCCATCTCTAACCACTCCTTCTCCACCCTGAGGTGGTGTGTTGAAGGCAAAGGGCCAGCTCCCAACCTTCATGGCTTCTTCTGGCCTCCTCACCAGAGTCGTGCCGTTGTTCCTCTGGCCCCAGCCCTTCCCTGCACCCACAAACACTATGTCCTTTTAGGGACTAATAACTCATGAGAGGGTTTTTCATTAATTCGGGACAAATCCATACGTCGGTGAATGAAACAAGGCTCCTTCCGTGGTCCTCCTACCCCTCCAGACACCGTGGAAGCTGAAGTCCCTGCAAGGAACCCCTTCCTTGCCTTTGCCAGCATGCTTCCTGCTCCACTTAGGTGACACCCGTGGGTCCCAGCCCTGCAGGCTGTCTTTCCTAAAACTTTCCTTCGTTCCTAAAACCGGGTCGCCCCGTGTTCGCGCTCGTGTTGAGTGCCAGCCAGGGCGGAAAAGGAGAACCACGGAGGGCGACCAAAGGGAAGGAAATGGTAATAACCCCCCACCAATGCCTCGAATATTGAGAATTAGAGAAGCGAGAAGAAAAATCCGGCCTCAAATAAGCAATTAATTGAAATTTAATAAGAATGGATAGTGTAGATTATTAAATAATAATTGATTGTTAGATGAGAATTTCTCAGGATTTAAGTGGTGTGCAAGAGATAAATCTAGTTGCTAGTAATTAACTGCAGAGTAGAAAAATACAGATAAAAGGGTGCTAAATGCTTCCTTTTGGAGTGAATTTTATTTTAACCCTTGCTTGTGGCTGCTGCCGCAGCCTGGCAGACCTCGCTGGGGACGATTGGAGAGGGGGATGGTGTTTCTGGAGGGCTGCAGAAACCCCCAGGAGCTGTGGGGTCTGCTGGGTACCATCCACCCACACGGCTGTGGGTACTCACACCGCTAATGGGGCAGGGCAGGAGAAGGGGAAAATTGCAGGGGAGACACACAGAGGTGGCAAGTGGCTTTCTCAGGGTTGCTCCAGGCATGTCCAGTCCTCCCTGTGCCCCCTCGGCGTTCGCCCCGGAAGGGGTGCTGTGGTTGCCTGCGAAAGGAGTTGGCTCTTGCCATCTCTCGAGATGTAAAAACCTACCAGCGGACCTGCAGTGAAGGTGCTCAGGTTCTCTAGGGCTTCTCTCGCAAGGTTAACTGTTGCACGGTAGACTCTCTGATGTCTAATATGAGTCAACTCTTGGTGCAGCCTTCCCCAGCTGGTTTGGTTATTAATGGGGTCTTTTCTCTTCCTCCTTTCCTGCAACTTGTAGGAACTTTGTGTCTGTGAGACCCCGTGTTAAACTGGGTTGAAATGACCAACAGGTTTAAACTTATTGAGGGAAGAGAAACGCCAGAGGCACGGACAGAGCCACCTTGTGAACCTCATTTTTTTGGGAAACTGTGCCCATGCACGTTGGTTTGACTTGATTCCTAGGACATTCTCTTCCATATTTTTAACCCAAACCACACGTGAGCCGAGCGTGACGATCCTTCCATGTGCAACACCGCATCGGCTCATCATGTGCCTCAACCAACGCTCCTGCCTGGATGCCCTGTGTCCCACCACCCTCCCGTGGGAGCAGCACCCACGCAGTCAGAGCGCGCGTTACGGGACCCCTTCGCTGGAGGCTCCTCTTACTCCGTGAGCGTGCGAGGGAGAATCCACCCCCTCCCTCTTCTCTTGCAGATGACTACAAGTCGGAGCTGAGAGAGCAGCTGCCTTTGATCGCGGGGTCCGCAGCGGCCGGGGTGGTCTTCATCGTCTCGCTGGTGGCCATTTCCATCGTCTGTAGCAGGTGGGTCCCCGTGGGATGCTGCGACCGTGGAAGGTGGAGGTGGTAGGACGCAGCTGGGGGGAGATTTGGGGTAGGAAGGGAGGGACGGGGGACCCCCGTAGCCGGAGAGAGCACTGAGCTGCCACCGCTCAGCGAGTGTTGCTGGCAGGGGAGCGGTTTGGGGCCGTTGCCAGCCGCTCGTCCCGCAAACCCCGGCTGTTTTCTCCCCTCTTCTCGCAGGAAGCGCGCCTACAGCAAGGAGGCGGTGTACAGCGATAAATTACAGCACTACAGCACCGGGCGAGGTGAGCTGGGGGGGAAAAGCGGGCAGAGGATACGCTCCTAAACCCGCACCCAGCGTGTGCCCCACCGTCAAATGTACGCGGGGTGGGGGGATGAAAGACGGAGAGGAGCGTAGGGTGAGAGTAGAGATACCCACCGCTGCGTGTCAGGGTGTCTTGGGGGGGGTGGTTGCAGTGGCGCAGCATTGTGGGTGGGAAATGAAGAGCGACGGGGGAGATAGGGATGGATTTGGGGGGATGAGGGGATGCGAGGGGCAGGGGAGATGTGGGGGGATAGGGGATGGGGAGAGGATGCTGTGAAGACTCCCAAAGGAGGAAGGGAAGGAGAGAGGCAGCGTGTGGAGGGGGATTGAGCTGATCTCCCACCACAGGCTCTGCTCAGGCCAGGATTGGTGCTGGGCTGCTCTTACCGCTAAAGGGACTCTGGATTTCGGGACCGGGGGCTGGTGGCTGGCATTGCTGCTGTCTCGGGCGCGTGGCTGATGCTTGCCCTGCACCCTGCTCTGGGGAAGATGTGCGGCCAGTGACTGGGAAGGTTTAACTGGCTTTGGGCTGCTGATCCCCTTGGCAAACAACTAGGAGAGCCTGAGCTTGAAGGGCCTTTTCCTAACGTCCCTCTGCGGGTTGGTGCAGCTGCGCACCAGAATAAATTTGAGGTGTCTGTGGTGTATAATGTGTCCTCAGGTACTCCATCAGCTCCTGGCAAAGCGGCCAGCGGGCCGTTGTGATCGAGGGAAGTGATAATAAAGCAGCAAAGCAGCAGCTTCAGAGGGTGAGGAGTTGCTACCCGGTGCCCGCAGGCTCCGTGCCCCATCCCTATGGGATGTAAATCCCATTTATGTTCTCCTGGAGATGCCTCCCAGTGCATTTTTCTGCCTCGTGGGAAGAAACCATCCCTGGGTCCTGGGCATCTCCCTGGGGAAAAGGGATGGTGGTGGGATGCAGGGCTGGGTGAAGGATGGCTGGGTGAGCGGAGGGGAGGGATGGAGACGGACCCGTCAGCCTGGCAGAGGAAAACCGGAGGGCTGACAGGAAAGAAAAGGGTCTGGAGGCAGCCAGGAGAGGCCAGCCAAGCTGGCAAAAGCACACTAGGTCTCTTTAGACCTTCTCAGCTTCATGCCAAACCCTCCCGACGCGATGGAGGGGCTGGGGGGGGGCGTAAACCTCCCAGCAAATGATAAACTGTTTTCCAAACATCACCGGTTGATACTTAAGTACAATGGACCTGTGCTTTTCCTCCTGTTTTTCTTTGCGTTTCTGCACCGTGAGTGGCAGGGAGAAGATTTATTTGATGCCTGACGGCTAAACCCGCGTTGGGCTGCGGGTGGACTTCTTTTTCCCATTTTCCCCTTGTTTTGAAACATTCCCCACCCTGTGTGCTTCCTTAGCTTGCCCCAAGCACCCCAAAACCCCGTGTGTTCGAAGCAGGTAGGAAAGCAATGACGTGGGTGCCTGTGTTTAGTTTTTAAATCTGGGCGACGGTGAGGATGGGTGCCCAAAATCCGGGGGGTGCCAGGGCTTCCGGCGGCACAGCAAAACCCTTTCAAGGTTAGGGAGCCTCCAGGCGCTCGGTTATTGCAGACGCTTGAGCAAAACAGGTGGGAAATTTGTGGCGAGCGACTAATGGAGTAACGAGCGCATCCTCCGGAACAAATCACCCGCGTGTTTAGCGGCGTGGCAATTACAGCCTCCCCCGGCGCGGCTCCGGGAACCCCCCGGGGATCGCCTGCTGCTGGCAGGGACTGCCCCAGGAGGGGGCTTTGGGGTGAAATGGGGTCTCTCAGGTTGTAATTTCTCATGCTTTATCTCTGCCGCTGCTTCGCCGGGAGCTTTGAGATAGGGGGAAAGAGGGAAAGCGCCCCGTTGAAGCCATGGCGATTCAGCAGGCAAAGGTTTTTCTCTGCCCCGATGACATTTATACCCAAGGAGAAACAGTGTCAGAAGGAATCCGGCGCTGGAGGCAGGGTCGCGGTGCAGAGCGCTTCAACTTTGGAAGAGCGATTGAAACATTTGCCTTCGTCTGCGGAAGTGATAAACGGCCTCATCCAGTTTCGAGGAGCATCGGGGTGATTTTAAGAGCGCAAAAGCTCTCTTTGCAGGCGGGTTCAGCGGGGGTTGCCTTTGATGTTGCGCTTCGGTACCCGGCATCGTGCCCAGCTTTTGCCGCCGTGGCGATGACGAGCTGGTGGCTGAGGTTTGCAGAGATGAGCGATGGGGTTTGGGTGCCCTAATCCCACTCATTCGGATGGGATGGGGACCGAGGGGGAGCGGAACCTGGTGTTTACTGAGCCCACAGGCAGATGCTGGGACACATCAGAGGGGGTTTGAAAACCACCCTGTGTTGACAGTGGGCAGGAAACTTTGGCGTTACCGTCTCCTTTATTCCTTCAATATTTTGATCAGTGAGTCAGTCTCGGTTACGATCCTGTAAATCCCTTTGTAATCCTGGCTGGAGCATCAGCTGCTCTTGTAAAAAAATTTATGGGGCAGTTAAAGTGTATGAGACAGAGCCGTAAAGGGATTTATGAACTGGGAGATGCACAGATGGCTTCATTGCAGCCTTCCGCGCCTGCCTCCGAGGCCCAGAGCTTTTGCCCCAAATACCCATTTTGGGGAGGATGAGGATGCTCCTGCCTGGTCCCTCCGGAGTCCCCGGGGGCCCCGCAAGCAGTTCTCCTCCGTGGCTGTTTCGTGCCTCCTCCTGACTTACTTGCCGGCAAACTTGCAAAGCAGCCGGGAGCCAATTTAGATTCCTGGTGCGGAGGTGATGCCGTGGTCCGTGCATTCATCTGCACATCAGCTCTTAGAAAGGTTCTGGGAAGCGCCAGCGCGACGGGATTGTGGCCCTTGGCGATGTCCTTAACGGCGTAATCCAACCCTGTTAATCGCTGTAATGCCGAGGTACCTCAGGGAGGAGGAGCGGGTGGTGATGTCCCTCCTGGTCTCCTCCAGAGATGACCTTGAGGGGCTGCTCTGCCACCCCCAGTCTCCTTTTTGAGTCAGAAATGGCTGAAACTCCAAAGGGGCATCGCAGCTTTTTCTAGGGGCTCCTTGGGGACCGCGGTATAACGCTGGTGCCCCACTGAGCCCTGGGGTTGGTGGTGGCCATGGCTCTGCCCCATAGCCGTGCCCCCTGGCAGCTCTGTGAGCCCCAAGGGCATCCAAACGCAATGTCTGCATGCCCCATTTGGGGAATTTGGGGGCCTGTTTTGGCTTTTCCCCCTGTTTGGAAAGGGCGAGAGCCCGCTTGCTGCATCTGCCTGTGGCGTGGCCGGATGCTGCTGCCGCGCATCGTCCCCGTGCGAGGGACCGCAACGTGGGCACGCAGGCCAGCAAAACTGTATTTTACGGCTCCATACAGGTTGTTGGTTATAATTGCCGCACTCTGTCAATTTAGTAGCGGCCACAAAACTATCAGAGGCCTTTTCGGGTAAATAAATATTTCTTCACTAATGCGTGGAGCCTCGTAAAGCCCTCACCGTAAAGCCAGCTAATTGTAGTTTGGGTCTGTAACTGCTCCCCATCGCTGGGGAGGACGAGGAGGAAGGGTAAGGGAGGAGAAGCAGAAGGCAGAGAGGGAGAGGAGGGGATGCAGAGGAGGGTCGGGTGGAGTGGGGGGACCAAAGAGGACAATATGGAGGTAGTGCAGGTGAGCGCAGCGATAGCTGCCATCGTAACAGGCGTATGGAGAGCGTGAGGACACAGGGATCTCCAGTTCTTGGCCGTGGCACAACTGCTCTTGGTTTTCTCTCCCTTTTGCCATCGCTCCCAAATTTCCCACGACAAGGGTCTCCAGGGATGAAGATCTACATCGACCCCTTCACTTACGAGGACCCCAATGAGGCGGTCCGAGAGTTCGCCAAGGAGATCGATGTATCCTTTGTGAAGATTGAAGAGGTCATTGGAGCAGGTGGGTCTCACCATCCCCTGCCGTGCGCCCCTCCCTGCCCTCTCCAGAGCTCCGGCGTGGCCACATGCCCATCTGGAGTAATTTTCTGGGGGTGCACACGTGGTCCTTCACCAGGAAACCCTCAAGGAAGCATCGAGACATCAGGTTTTCCTGGGTTTGTGGTGGATTAGAGTGGGAACGATGTTGGTTTCTGCTCTTAAAGTTCCTCTGAGGTGGGAAAGGCTCCATGAACGTATTCGCTGGGTGACCACGGGGCCTCTCGGGATTTCTTAGTTGCCTTTTCCATGAGATAATGAGAAAAAGCCAGATCTCGCTCTAGTTTCTGCCATATTCCCATACATATGTATATATACATATGCGTGCACGTATCTGTATGTCATCTGTGCTGCTTTTATTGCCATTTTTGAGTAACTGTGGTACTCGGAGAAGAGAAAGTGAGAAGCTGGAGGGAAGCTGCAAACGAGCGACGAGCTAGTTTGGTCGGGATCAAGTTCAGTGATGTATCAGCCACCCTTTGCTGCTCATCAAGGCAGAGTGGCTGCAAACCTGGCTTACATGTAATCCCTCCACAGGCAAATTTTGCCTTGGCGAAGGAAAAGCTCTCCCTCTGAAAACGGGAGGACGCTTTCTCTGTATTTTAAATCAGAGGGCAGCAACGAAAACAGCCCAATTATATTCCATTCCGAGATAAGCGCTGTGCAAAAAGGCAACCGAGATTATCAACACCGACACCTTGTATTGGAGGTAGCCCTTAAATGTTGATGCTCTCGCTCTGCAAATGCTTCTTGTAGGGGTTTGCGAGAGCGGTCCCAGCCGCTGCTGCTGTCGGTGCTGGGCTCTGTCACCTTGGAAAAGGTTGCAAGCCCAAACACGTTCTCAGCAGCAGACGTTGCCCCTTTTAAAGAGAACAGGCGAGTAGATTTATAGAGGAGAGCGTGGCTGAAGTGTTAACCGGCTGACATTCCTCAGCTGGTCGGTTTGGAGACCAGCTCAAGGTACTATCACTCTTTGCCATGTTTTATGCGGAGGAGGAGGTGGTAGTGGATGCTCTTGCACTTGCAGGGGAGTTTGGAGAAGTGTATAAAGGACGCCTGAAGTTGCCCGGCAAGCGGGAGATCTACGTGGCCATCAAAACGCTCAAAGCCGGCTACTCCGAGAAGCAGCGCCGGGATTTCCTGAGCGAGGCCAGCATCATGGGGCAGTTTGACCACCCCAACATCATTCGGCTGGAAGGGGTGGTGACCAAAAGCCGACCGGTCATGATCATCACGGAGTTCATGGAGAACGGGGCCCTGGACTCATTCTTGCGGGTAAGGCGAGGTGGGGCCGCGTGGGCTCTTGTTCAGCTGTGGGATTCGGGGGTCAGATGTTGGTATCCCGTCCTGTAAATCCCAACCCGTTTCCTTAGCTCGGGAGCTGGTTGCGGTCTGCCGTACACCCCAAAACCACGTGTGGTTTTGGTGCTGGCACGCCACTGCTTTAATCCGGCAGGGCAGGGCAGCTGGGTAGTCCTCTGGGGAGGTGCAGCATCCTCCCAGTTGGGGGTGAGCGGCTCTGGTCCTGCGGTGGGGGGTCTGCCCGCTCACCCCGCTGCTGCCCGCTCTTTCCTGCCGCAGCAAAACGATGGGCAGTTCACAGTGATCCAGCTGGTGGGGATGCTGCGAGGAATCGCCGCCGGGATGAAGTACCTTGCAGAGATGAATTACGTCCACCGAGATCTGGCTGCCAGAAACATCCTGGTCAACAGCAACCTGGTCTGCAAAGTGTCCGACTTCGGCCTCTCGCGCTACCTGCAGGACGATACGTCCGACCCCACCTACACCAGCTCCTTGGTACGTACCTCTGACGAGGTTTTGTCTTGCCCAGCAGCCCCCGTGCCTTCCCTGCACCCACTGCCAGCTGGACCTGGGAGAAGGGTGCTGGATGTGTGCCCTGGAGCTTCTGCCGTGGGTGGGGAGCATCTCAGGAAGGTTCCCACCACGTGGGCTCGTGGCCCAGAGAACCTGTCTGTGGTTCCCACCCAGCATCCTCTCTTCCCTCCTTTCTCTTCCTCTTTTATGAGTTTTCTGCCTCCCTCGCCCCCCGGGCACCTTTCTGCCCTCAGATAAGCCTCTTCCCTGTCCTCCGTTGGGGGAAGGTGCACGGAGGAGTCCCTGGAGAGACCGGGAAGGGAGATCACAGCACCTCCCGACGGCACAACTCCCCTTCCCTCGGCGCTCCAGGTCTGCTCTGCCTCTCTCTGCTGGAAACTTGTTCCAGGCGTTAATTAAAGAGGCAAGCCTAACGGGAGCTGCGCTGTTCCCCAGCCACCCTTCTCGTCGTTAATTAACTCATTCGTAGGTAATGGCAGCCCCGCTCTCCCCTTTCTCCCCCCCCCCCCGAGGGACCCCCCAGCTCCCCATCCTCCTGCCAGGGGGCTGACGAGACCCTCTTTGGCGTTAAGGATGAGCAGAAGAGAAGGGGATGAGCAACCCGTTGACCTCATCCAACCGGTTAATTAACAGAGCGTGCTCTAGGTCCAAGCGAAAGGCTGCACCGACTCCTGCAAAAGCAGCGTCGAAAGTGGCCTTTCCCCACCTTTCAAGATAAAAGAGATTATCTCATCTGTGTTTTTATTTAATTTAGGCCATAATAGATCTCCCCAGCAGCTGGGAAGTGATGCTGTGCCTGCGATTACATCACTCTGCCTCCCACAGCAGGTTTTTAGCTCTGGGGAAAAGGCAGGAAAAACAACCTAGCAGTTAATTTCTCCATTTGTAGTTATTCAAATCAAATTTTTTTGCCATTCATCCTTCAAGAGCAGCTGACGCTTTGGCGGAAAGGCTCTGGAAAACAATTGCGCTAAACGATTTACAATGCAGTTCTGCCCGGAGTAAATACCGTGCGTGTTTGTGGTTTTTCTTCATCTGGTGGCTTTTTTTTTTTTTTTTTTTTTTTTTTTGGAGACGGTTATTTTAGCGGTGCTTGCCCAGGGAGCGGTCCCTCTGTACGTGCTGCCCCTCGGCATGGCCTCCAGCCCCTCCTGTCCTGCCAGGAGCTGGGACCTGCCCTGGCTTGATGGGGTGGCTTGAGACGCCGAGCCTGATTTTGAGCTTTTAGGAGAAATGAGGGGCGCTCTGCCAGACGCTTTCCTATTCCGGTGCTTTCCAAATCTCCTTTGGGACTGAAACTGGGTCTTTTGCTTTTTGCCTCCCACTCCAAAAGTGGGGCTGGAAGGATGCGGGAGCCCAGATGATGCCGTAGAGGGTGCTCTTAGGTTAGACCGTGTTTCCACTGAAGGCCAAGGGATGAAGATACTTGTAGCTCCTTACCCGAGACAAGCACTAGTCCTGCGTAGCCCTTGTCACCTGATGTCTCCCTGGGAAGGGGACCTGGGGACAGGCCACCGACGTGCCGGGTCCTGCCGGGCAGCCGGTGTGGGGAGGTGTCACTCGAGGGTGACACCTGAGTGGGATAAACCCTGGGAGATAAACCCTTTTGGTTTGTTTAGCCTAAGCCCTTCTGTGCAGCTACGACAGGTACAAGATAAATTCATGGAGGTGGTTTTTGTCTCCCGCCTCCTCGTCCCATCGGGTACCTCCTGCCCCCTCCCCATCGGGGTCTCCAGGGATCGGTGGCATGCAGGATGGCTCCGACGGTGGCTCGTGGACGTCAGGGTCCCTCTGCCAAGGGCGCCGTTTCTCAGCTGCTCTCCCTTTTTCCGTAGGGGGGGAAGATCCCCGTCAGGTGGACGGCGCCGGAGGCCATCGCTTACCGCAAGTTCACCTCGGCCAGCGACGTCTGGAGCTACGGCATCGTCATGTGGGAGGTGATGTCGTTCGGGGAGAGGCCCTACTGGGACATGTCCAACCAAGATGTAAGCACTGGGGGTCAGCCACACAGCTT